TGTCTCAAAGCCAGAAGGTACACAGTTTATTCAGTATAATAGAGAAAATCCTCTCTTTTCATGAGTAAGCACATTTTATTTATTAAGCACCTTTCAAAACCAAAGTTACAAGGTGCTGTACAAAACAAATATAAAGATAAATGAAAAATACAATGGAACCATAAGGACTAGACCAAGTCGACTACCAACTCACAAACAGTGAGGAAAACCCAATCAAACCCTGATGTGATTAAATCACCTGAGATCTAAGGTGCTCAACAAGCAATACTGTGCAAAGATATGAGGCATTAAGATATGAAGTAAACACTATGAATGGTTTGTATTCACTGGGTTTCCATAGGGTCTTGTTGGGGGCGCCTTAAAGAGTCTTACATATGTTAAAATATTATGCTTTAGTACTTAAATGCTTTTAAATAGGTTTTAAGTAGCTTAATTGTCCGTTGCCTCCATCATCGTTTCAAATTTGAAATGTTTTGGCAGCATGCATGTGTCGTCTGTGCTTGACACAGGTCTTAAATCAATTGAATTATGGTCTTAAAAAGTCTTAAATTGAACTAGTTGAAACCTGCAGAAACCCTGTTTTTATCTGTTAACTTTAGACAAACCACATGAAACAGAAAAATCACGGAATCGTGTGTTTCTATGCCTTTTTTTTCTCTCTGACACGCCACAAATAGTTTGTTTTGCCTGTTCCAAAACCACCGTTACCTCTGGCACCATTTGCCCCACGATTCTTTTCACCACGCTGTTGCTTCCCCCTTTTTCTCTCAAGACAGAGCAAAGCCATGTCAGCACTCTGTACGGGGCCGGTGTATTGTTGCACTCCCAGGAGAACGGAGGGAATGCCTTTGACTTTGTCTGCTTTTTATGACTCCACATTTTCCCACTGGGCTGCACAGTGAGGCCTGCCTGGGTCAGCTCGGTTCTGACACCTCATTCAAATGGCATTCTTGTATATTTCTCTGCATTATTTGCTCATCACATATTTCAGTTTACTACAACTTAACGTCAGACATTTTCACTGTATTTTTATCTAACGTAACAGTCCAGATACATGGTCGAGATGTTTTTACACTTGAAATTGAAAATTAGCTGAATTGTTAAAAGTACAAAAACTGGAAGTTAATTTCTCCTGTCTGCTTTGTTTGCACTTTTGAAGCTTACTGTGCAGTCTTAATGTGTATTCTCTCTTGTGACTCGTGACGTATGTGCTATCTCTCAAAGTCCCTTTTTATCAGTGTTATATATTTGCAGGGTGTGTACATCTTATCATGTGTCCAAGGTGTTTATTTGGGATTAGTTAACAAAACTCAATATCTAACAGTCATTTTTATGTGTCTCATCAGGTGCTGAGTCATCTCACCTGATCTGAAACTCCTGATCCACTGATCTGTCATGATGACGAACACAGACTCTGTCCGGATCCGGGTCTTCTCTCTGAACTGCTGGTCAGTGGCTGTGGTTTGTTAGAATGAACTTTATGCTTCACAAAGAAGAATTAAAACCAGACAAGCAGATAAAATGAGAGTTAGACAACGGAACACGAGCATAGAAACAGAATCATAAAAAATAAATCGATCAATATAAATCAGAGCTGACATCCACCAGTTGTAAAACCTTTCACCAAGTTTTAATAAGAAGCCAGAGCCTCTGTCTGTTCCATGGGTAGTGAGCTCCATGTGACCAACAGTTGTGACTCATTGCACCGCTCTCTTTTCAGGGGGATCCGTTACAGCAGCAAACACTGTTCTCAGCGCTACGCCATGATCGGAGACCTGCTGTGTAAGGAAGAGCACGATATTGTCTTACTGCAAGAGGTCAGTGCTGTGGAGCCACTGAGCTGATCTTTCAGCTCATGCACGTAGTTCTCTGCTGTGTATTCTAGATGCATATGAACAATATCAACGGGCTACCTGTGTTTTCTTTAAGGTGTGGAGTGAGAAAGATTACCTGTTCCTGAAAAAGAAACTTGCCTGTAGCCATGCTCACTCTCATTACTTCAAAAGGTAATGCTTCTACTCTTGTCACACAAACTCTCGTTTCTCACCTTGTTACCTTTGAGCGTCTCTCAGTTTGTGATTTAAAATTCATGAGAAAGTTTCTTTGTCTTCAAAAGGGTCTCAAAGCAATGTCAGACAAATTTGCTTACATGGCATTGATCCATCTGTAAAATTTAACTGAGGCTCCGGCACTACCTGAAGGATTAACTTTTACAGCTTAATTCTGTCTTGACCCTCATACCAAGGCACAAGACTGAGATTAATCAAAGGCCCGTCATCCTTAATCCCCTCTGCAGCTCTCAGAAATGTCAACTTCTGTGCATAAGTTCTTACGATAGCATAATGCAGATCTACATGGAGACCAGACGTTACTTGCATTTTTAATTTTTTTTTAAAAACCACATGCTGCTGAAGCTAATGTGTGTTTCAGTGCGGAACACATTACTCGTACCCACATGATTCTGTTTTTTCTTTCATTCTGCAGTGGAGTCATAGGAAGTGGACTGGCCGTTTTCTCCAAACACAGAATCCACGACACTTTTATTTATCGCTACTCACTGAATGGTTATCCATACATGGTGAGTCTGGACAGGCTGAGGGAAGGGTTCTGAAAGTCAATTCCTATCAGCACCTCAAACCTGTACATGTTCGTAGTAATATTATCCAAATAAAGCGTCACTGAATGCGATAATTTACAAAAAGAAATCTCCTGCTACTATCTGTCAATGATAAGATGAGCATCATTCATTCCAAACATTTTCCTCTTTTTGGTCAAGTTGGAATCGATCACAATGCATCACTTGAACTGCAAAAGACAGAATAAACACAAAAACCTGAGACCAATGATCCACTGTTGTTATTATTATTATTCCTGCTGTAACTGATCATTAAATATTTCCTTTCTCTTCCCTAAATTCTATTTTTGCATTTTCCTCATATTCAGGCTCACCATGGAGACTGGTTCGGAGGTAAAGCCGTCGGGATGGCCGTCTTAGGCATCGGCAAACTGACTGCAAATGTCTACGTGACTCATGTAAGGGTTCACACCATCAGCTCTCAGCTTCCTGTTTACTGTATGTTACTTTCACCTTGACTTCTGCAGGGCGCCGCTTCTTTTACAATGAACTCCCTAGAGATTGTGCAGAGCGCTGAGACATGTCATCCCCTCAAAGGAATGTCGTTGCTATCCCAGAACACAAGGCCGTGACAGTACAGACAGTTCTCGTTTGTGTTTCCCAGATAGCAGAATGATGTCAGAGCAGGAGTGTCCAAGAACCTTGTCTTTTCTGAGGACACCTCCCCTTTTAACTAGCTCTTATCTTTTTGTTAACCGATCTCCCGCACTTTGTCTTATTTAACAGATTTAGCGCTTGATTACTTCAAGATTGCCTGCTGCTGCCTGCTGCTGCGCAAAGAGCTGTTCACATGTTTACTCAAAGTACAGAGAAGCTTGACTTACAGAACTGCAGAATCAATTGTCTTTACTGTTTTAGTGAAAACACTCTCCTTGAAAGTTTACTAATATTGAAGTTATCAAATGTCTAAATTGTACCAAATTCCACACTGCACCTTCTCGGACCCTCAGACATCTTATCTGCAAGTGTGAAGGCGATAAGATGAATGTTTCTAGAGCCACAGACAGACAGCACAGTATGCATAGTGTCTCTCACCCAGGATGACAGAACAAAGTAAAATCACAGGATTATCCAAATATTTGTGTTACGTTACTGAGTCCCCTTATCGCTGTTGCAGTTTTCATATGAGCCAAGGCTGAGTTTGGAGGCCAGATAGAGAAGAGACACCACAATGTTTTGGTGAGATGAGCCGAGGTTCAGATGGATGTGTCCAATATAGAGTAGCTCCATATGAGGACTAATGATATGTGGCCACTGCAACATGGGGAGATAATAATACTCCCTCTTTGCAAGGACAGCTCAGCACAACTCTCTGTATAGCTCATCAGCCTCGTATCGCGAGAATAAATAATTCCACGTAAGACAACATCCATCTCTGGAAAAACTTAATTCCCTCAACCTTCGGGATTTATCTCACTGAGGTCTCATACTGCATTGAAGACACTTCAGCGTTGTAAAGTGACTTTGGATAAAAGCATCTGCCCAACGAGTTCCAGTAAAAGATCAATTGATCCTTTCCCTGTGTATTGACTTCAGCTGCATGCGGAGTACTGCAGAGAGAAGGACTCTTATCTACCTCACAGAGTGGTCCAGGCCTGGGAGCTGCAGCAGTTTGTTCGGTATCGTCTCTTTGCTTCTTCATTCTGCACAAGTTCAACCACTGTTTGTTTGCTCTGCTGTATAGTTTGATATGTATCTGAGGTTAACCCCACCTGTACTCAAAGATTCGGTTTCATTCGGTTTCATCCGTTGATTTCTTTTTCTGCATCCATCAGACACACCTCTGCTGGAGCAGATATGGTTATTTTAGGCGGCGACCTCAACCTGCACCCTCAGGACCTCGGGAACAGACTGCTGATCTCTTACACTGGGCTCCGAGACTCTTATTTAGAGACAGATACATTTGATGTAGGTAGTAACAGTGTTTAGATTTAACCAGTATCTTTATGTTGTTGTAACGTCTGTAATTCATATTTATATATTCGGTTATGCTGATATTTTACTTCATGCACTAATGTAAATATCATAAAAAAGTACAACTGTATAACTTATCATTGACCAAAGTGTGTTTCCACATGGTTCCACCTTATCTCATCATAAATGACACAAGTGATGGTGAATACTGCAAAATTGCATTGTAGAGATAGAAATTGATTTCTGTTGTGATAAGAAATGTGTTTTTCCGTTGCAGGGATGTGAAGATGGTATGACTCTTATAGCCGACAACCCTTTCACCAATAAGAAGGACCTTGTTCCCTTTGAGAAAGGAATCCGAATCGACTACATCTTGTTCAAAGTGAGTGGAAGTTTTATGTTGACGTACCTGCTTTGTTTTTATCACTTCGTGTTTAAAGTAACATGTGTCTTTGCAATGTATTTTATTCCCAGGGTTCTTCTAAAACAGACGTTTTCTGCGACTCCATGTCCACCACCAAAGGCTCCGTCGCCGACCATCCTTTCCCGTACTCCGATCACGAGGCTCTGACCGCTGAACTGAGGCTGGAGTCACACACTTCACCTGAGACGGGAAGAGACAAGAAATCAAAAGATCAGGACTCTGCTGCAGGTAGTTATTGTTATGAACCTTGCAGATAAAGTGGCACAGGAATGGTGTTGTTTCTTGAAACGTTGTCCCATCACTTATAAAATTCAGTTGAGACAAACCTGCCCCCTCAGGATGAATCGTAATGATTTTTCGATCCATTTTTGTCCAGAAGTTTGTTTTATTAGTCCATTCATCTGAAATTAGAATGATTGCAAATATGAGAATGTGTAAAAAAATCCAGTCATTTCAACAACCAGTATATTGAGCAAGACACCAGAAAAGCTCATCATGTCGGCTGTTGTCACATTGTGGTTAGTGCTGAAATTTCATCATGGTTTAAATGTCGTCCCGAACAATAAGACAATGAATTTTTAATTTGTTGTAACGTTGATCCTGTCTGATCGGAGCTAAATTAAAACCTCACAGTGCTGCTAACCTGGGCTGTGTTGTCTAAGTCTTTTTTTGTACCTCTACCGCCGTGTAAAACACACACATGCTGCTATCACTGAAGTCAAATCATGAAATGTTTTCAGATGTTCTTCCCCTCTGCTTTCTGTCTTGTTCTCAGGGAAGTTGGCCGAGCTGGTTGACATCGTGACAGAGGCCCGTACTGAAGTCAAAGTCGGCCTGCACTGCGCAGAGAGGATGCGCTACACGGCGAAGCGCACCGGTGTCATGGGGCTGGCTCTGCTGCTCCTGGAGCTGGCCATCGCTGCCGTGCCCTGGTTGGCTCTGGGAGCTGAGCAGCCTTTCCCTTCTACATCGTTCTACCTGCTGGCCGGGCTCTGCTTCGCCATCCTGCTGACCACCTCTACGCTGTACATCTTCTACACCATGGAGCTGAAGTCTCTCCAGGGGGCTGAGGACCAGATGAGACTGGCTGTAGGAAGTCTGCAGGAGAGTCTCCGGGGCTTTCCTTTGGCTCAGGTCCACAACGCCCAGCGGAAGCCTCCAGGAGGTCTCAATGCCTGTGACCCAGAGGAATAATGGCAGCGCTAGCTGGGTCAAAACGGGCTCCGTGTAATGAAGCCGTTGAAATTAGCTTTAAGATGGATGTTTGAGGAAGTTGTCACTCCTCTGAATGTGTTTTTATGCCCTAGAATTTTAGATTTGTACTGCAGAATGAAGGAGTTGAGCTATGATCGAAGAACGTTTCTGATAGTCGTGCCGTACACAATCATGCTTTGGCATTTTTATACTTTTTCTACATATGTAAACATACATATTCGTCTTCAGAGTTCCCTCTATGCTGCTCCACAAGTGATCTTCCTATTAGACAGTGAGACATGTCTGTGCGTACACCTCATAACTCTGACCTACTCTATTTTTAAAGCCTCAGGTCCAATTTGCATTCCACCCTCCAGTTGTATCATTGGGACCAGTTGTTTCTGTTTTGATTTCATGCTTCCCTTTTGTGATTTTAGAGAGTCCACCGCACAATCGTAGAGGGTCCAGACTGTCGGCAGATTTACTCACAGAGGTGAAGCACACGAGACACAGACACTCCGAAGGGTTTTAGGTTTACATTCAGATCCGTTACATGTTTTTTCCTCTGCACACCAGATCAGTGAGAAGTAAAACTATATATAACAAACATAATAACAAAATATATATATATATATATCTATATATATCTTAGTTCTCATGTTCAGTCACTTACACACCAAAGTAAAGCAGTAGGAATGTGCTGAAGATGTTCTGCTTTATATGCTCTTAACTTTCACTTAATTCAATAGCATGGATTTACTTTACAAAGCATCTTGTGCTGCAGGAATTTAAAAAACCACTAAATATATCTTAAATGTGCACTTTGTTGACTATCCTGACTTCCGTTAATGTTTTCTAGGAGACGACTTAAAGTACATATCGTTGTAAAACAGTGTTATTCCTCAGCTGGAGCAAAACGAGGACTGATTAATTTAAAATACATTTTTAATTATAACCTTAATGTTAGAAAAAGACTTAAATTTTATTATAATTATAATTTCAGATGATTCCTGATGTTCATTCCAATTGAAAATTGTAATGGGCATGATAATGAAGCAATAATAAAGATATTTACATACTCATGCATCTCGACTGGTTTTGAATAAATGACGCTACAGAAGTTTTCAGCTGCAGACAATATTCACTGGTGCAGTTCCACGCTTTCACCACAAGAGGGCAGCCTAAGTTACGGACAGGTAAACTTTTCAAATGAAAACACTTCCTGCTGACGATTTATAACCAAACTGGTTCTTTGGCAGCAAAGATAAAGTGTTAAGATAAAGGTAATAAACTGGGAGGGAGGAGACACCAAGTTACTGGATCAAACCAACCTGCCAGAACATGTTCACCCTCAGGGGAGGCCCATCCATGGGGAATATTTTCCCTCCCATTATAATAATAATCAAAATAAAAAAAGGAAATGTACTTAAAGGTACAGTGTGTAGAATGATATCACTAAATTCTTCACACTGTACCTTTAAGTTGCATGTTGCAGCTGAACTCACCTCACCTCACCCTCTCCTTCCAAACATGAAAAAGAACCTGTGGTAGCTTTAATTATAAAAACTCAGAAGGTGTTTAGTTTGTTCAGTCTGGACTAATGTAAAAAACATGGCGGCCTCCGTGGAGAGGGTCCCCTCGATGTAAATATAAAGTATTTAAATATTAAGGACCTTTTCTGGGGTAAAGAAAACTACAATTCATTCAATTTAGATAAAACAAACTAGTGAAAACATGAGGATTATTCTACATTCAATTTCTGCCAATTGATCACTTTCACCTAAATCTTACACACTGGACCTTTAACAGAGGAATCTTGGATACCATTGCATTCAGTCATCAAGAATATTTTAAAGAACAGTTCTTTAACTTCAGTTTTTAGTTGAGTTTTCAACATTGAAATGTTAATGCAACATAAAAAAAAAGCTTTGTTGTCCAATATACTAAAGAATAAATAACAAAATAAATTAAAAATATTGTGAAAATAAGACAAAGAACAAGAAGAATAATCTTATTAACTCTGATTGACATAACGGGACCTGAAGGTTTGGGACAAAGGCCATGTTACATGTTACCTGTTCAGGAGCCACATGAAAGTAAAATCCACTCATCACAACATTCATCATCTCAATGAACAAAGTAGAGTGCAGATCTTAAAATAACAGAAATAATTCACGTAGTGAGCAAACAGAGAAAACTGAGGCAGAGTCAGACATTTGTCTCAACTCAAGTGGAGCTGACGACACAAAACAGGAGAGAAGACCAGGAACAGACGTCCAAACATTTTATTGAAGCACTGGAACGAAAATACGCACAAATTACAAACTACAGACACAAATACCTGTGGAGTAATAGTACATAGGCAGGTATGGTATACAGAGCCAATAAGTATAAAATGGTATGTGATATATACACATTCATACATTTGTCATTTTGTGAACACACCATTTAAAGTGTTATGGAGCAGAATGTGTTTTTACTGACCTCTAGTGGTTGAAGTTCCAGCTTTGCAGTGTTAAGTTTTATTTATTCATTTCATTTTCATCATCACAAAAGTGCCCCTGATTTCTTTGGAGTTGATTCGATGACTTCGTGTGAAAAGACATTTAAAGATCAGTCACATCAGGCGTAAAACACTTTTATTTGACAATGAACAAAGAACAGAAAGTGAAGTTTTGTTCTAGATTTTATATTTGAATCTATGCATGAATGTAACCTGCTTGAATATTAGCGGCCTCCAGTCACCTGCAGAATCTGTTGGCCTGCTCGTCCATAAAACCTGAGAGACATTACTCACTGAGAGGAAGTGCACAGACAGACAGAGAGAGAGACAGAGAGAGAGAGACAGAAGGAAAGAAAGAGACAGACAGACAGACAGAGAGAGACAGAGAGACAGACAGACAGAGAGAGAGAGAGACAGACAGAGAAACAGACAGAGAGAGAGAGACAGAGAGAGAGACAGAAGGAAAGAAAGAGACACAGACAGAGAGACAGAAACAGAAAGAGAGAGACAGAGGAACAGACAGAGAGAGAAAGAAAGAAACAGACAGAGAGAGATAGAAGGAAAGAAAGAGACAGACAGACAGACAGAGAGAGACAGAGGAACAGACAGAGAGAGAGAGAGAGACAGAGAGAAAGAAAGAAAGAAAGAAAAACAGACAGAAAGAGAGAGAGACAGACACACAGTGAAAGTGCACAGAGAGACAGTCACAGACAGAGAGAGACAGACAGACAGAGACAGACAGACAGAGAGACAGTCACAAAGAGACAGACAGAGAGAGACAGTCACAGACACAGAGAGAGACAGAGTTCATGAGTTCAGTACAAGTCTTCTTGGTCTATTGTCATCGGGGCGCGGCCTCGTGGCGCAGGGCAGGACAAGGTGCGCTCCTGTTACCTCACACATCACCGACGCTGCGCAGCTCAGCTCAGCTCCGGGAGGAAAACATCGTGGGAAAAGAAGAGAAATGGCGAGTCTGGATCCACTGAAATCCGTCATCTCCATCGGGAACGTGGACGACACGTCTCTGGCTGTCCCCTCCGTGCACCAGTGCAGCTCCGGGCAGCAGCGCGTCCTGGAACAAGTGCAGACTCTCCGGAGAACCAAGTCCCGACAGTCCAGCAGCAGCAGCCGGAGCGGCTCCTTCTCCCCGACCAGTGAGCGCCCTCTGCGGCCTCATCCAGGGCCGCACACACACAACTCTGGGGCTTTGGGCTTTTTAGCAACTCCAACTTTTACATTTAAAATGGAAATAAATCTGTAATTGTTTATTAAGCTACGTCATAGTTTCACTGGTAGTAATGAATGGACAATAGACACATTAGTTGGAGCTGTTGTTAAATGTCCTTGATTCTTTTTTAGGATCTTAATTATTTTTTAAATTTGATTTATACACATTTATACGGATAATTCTGTTTATTAAATTGGTTTAACTTGCGTTTACAAGCAGATGCTGTTGTTTTTAGTCTCATGTGCGATCATTTAAACTGACTTTCACTTGTTCCTGTTGCCATTTTTGACTCAATGTCGCTGTTGGCTGGTTTTTCTGATTTTAGATTAAGATCATATCTTCTGTACAACATCTGTATGATAACAGCTCTTTTCTCCGTGCAGGCCCTTCCTACGAGTTTGTGTTTTTGGATCCTGCGAAGACTCTGTCGCCGACATCGAATGGAAATGTTTTCTTTGGAAACGGCTTGTCAAGAACAGTGAGTCGAAAAGTTTATCAATGCACCAGTCAATCACAGAATATGATCATCGCTGTGCTGCTGCAGAGGAGAATTGTGTGGCCGAGCCGAAGCTAAAGTGAGATTGTTCCCGGGATATTTGAGGAAGATGATATCTTTGTATAATCTATGTTTATAACCTTTTATCTTTAAACCAGCACTAAACATTTTAAACCTCATTTAGATCTCAGCTGCAAGCCACGACTGAAATGTATCATCATATGTGATCAAGACAAGTTGTTTATTAGAAATTGTTCTTTGAGTCGTTGCTCCATCCTCTAACTGTTGCAAATGTCAGATGACTCAATGAAGCGTGAAATATTATGTCTGAGAGTGTTACTCTTTTCTTTTCATGAGTGGCAGTCAAACTTTTCTCAGAGGGTTTGGTTGGTATTTAGAACATTCTGCCTCCAGCCCTGTTCTGGATAATGACTTCTTTTTCATTTCTATTTAGATTTTAGAATTTAGATTAGGAATTGGGTTTTATCGCCAAGCAGGTTCAAACATACAAGCAATTTGCTGTGGTGTATTTGTGCAAGCATAAATATAACAAATATAAAAATATAAAAAATACTATTAGCACCAGGGGAGCGGTTGTTCAGTGCAGTACTGTCAACTACACCGTGTATTGTGAGTCTGAAACACTGAAAATAAGAAAGAGAGGCTGAAGCATTTGTTGTCCTGAGTTCACGCTTCAGTCCCAGTTCTTACAGATTCTCTGTTTCCTCACACAAAAATCTGTTCAGCAGCCACAACCACATCTCTCATAAATGATTTGACATTGCCAGCTCCAGTGTAAATCTCTTCATTTCTGGTGAAACCAACCTTTATGAGATACTCATTAGAAACTCATGTGTTCTTTGGCTTTGCAGCTCAGCATTGGGGAAAATATGAAACAGCAAGTTGTCAACAACTCCAAGGAATCGACCGTGAGGAGGAATTTAGCAGCTGCTGCCTATCAGTATGAGAAGAGGAGTTACGCCACCCTCGGCACCATGGCTGTCAGTCAGACCAGCGCGAGCCACGGCGAGTCCGACCTGTCCTGGAAGCGCCCGGTGCAGAGACAGTCCTCTGTTCCTCTGCAGAGGTTCCTCTCCAGCAAAAGCCCCACCAGAACCGAGAGGCCCACCAGCCAGGTTATAACCCTCGGCTCACGCAAAACTCAGTTCGCCACCAACAGCCCAAATCACACCAGAACAATGGAGCAGGTGAGAGGCAGCCAGGTCGATGGGTCCAGAATTCCTCCGAAGCCTGTGGTCACCGAGGTCACTACCAAGACTAAAGAAGACTCTGGGTGAGCTTTTACCAAGCGACTGACTCAGCAGCAAAGATTTGACTCTGTTGAATCAGTGAAGTTTAATTAAAACTTAGGCGGAAGGAATAAACAAATTCAGTGTTCATATAGAATGTGATCTTTTTTTTCCTTCAGATCAAACGAAGGCAGTGGCCTCGTGGAAATCACCATGAAGGAGGCTGTGGTTTGTCTTTCCAACAACGATGAGAAGCATCAGCACTGCGGAGCCTCCTACATCCAGCACAACACCTTCATCGACGACAAGGCGAAAGAGGAGGTGATTTGTTTTGATCTTTTCACCGCTTATCTTCTCCATCTCGTGTGACCTGAGACTCTAAAAGAAACATGCAGCTCAGACGCCTGAGTTAGGTCCGAGTTTGACTTGTGTTAATGTCAGGTATGAACAGAGCTGTCTGTGTTTGGATAAATAATTGTTCCTCCGCTGCGCTAACTCCTGCAGCTTCTTCTTCTCATCGTCTCTCAGGTGTTGAAGCTCAACGGGATCCCTCCTCTGGTGACTCTGCTGCGCAGCCGTGATTCGAAGATCAGCCAGACGGCCGCGGCCACGCTCCGTAATCTGTCCTTCAAGAGCAACAGCTGCAAGGAGGCCATATATCGCAAAGGAGGCATCACAGAGGCCGTGACTCTGCTCAGAGAAACGGATTCTGTGGAGCTGCAGAAACAGCTGACAGGTGTGCGTTCGCTCTGAGCTTCGCAGACCGACACATGTACTTATACTGTGCACACACACACACACCTTACTCTGCAAACAAGTCCGACAGAGAGTTACTTGTGTGGAGTAAAACTTAATCCTGTTCAAAACCTGCTGTCCATCAAATCAAGCGTCATCATGCTTCAAGTGTTTTCGGCACTTGCAGCCTTTTGCTAGAATCCATTCAGTGTCTTTCTAGTGATAAACGTAAAACTAAACTTAATGAAAGTCTTATTATATTCAAACTGTTATTCTGAGTGTGGTGCTGAAGGAGCTGATCACACTCCGATGTCATCCGCACAGTTTAAAGTCAAGTCCTGTTATCATTTAAATATTCACATATCAATTAAGCTCTCTGTGGATAACTGACGGAACAATCACACGTATAAAAACCTTAAAATTTTAAAAGTGAATTCACAAACCTTTGGACACTAAAGTCTTTTTTCCCTCAGGTCTCCTGTGGAACCTGTCGTCTGCAGACGAGCTGAAGCCAGACCTGCTGAAGAGTGCGTTGCCTGTGTTAATGGAGCGAGTGATCCTGCCTTACACTACCGGTCCTGACCGAACCAACAGTGGCACCCAGGACCCTGAGGTCTTCTATCACGCCACCGGGTGTCTGAGGCAAGAAAACATACAAGCGAGCACTGGATATAACTTCATTACCTTCGTCGACATGTTTCCAAACTGCAGATCCAAATGGAAAAGTCATTTTATTCTAATTTATTTTTAGTTGCAGACACTCAACATATATTATTTCTTTCTTTCTTTCAAGACATCACAGTGGTCAATATCAAAATGAGCTCTGCTCCAGACATTCATCTTTTTTTGATGTGATATTGTCAAAGTGAGTCTACAGCTCTCGCATCATTCAAACCACAGTTACAGGTCGTAACTTTTATCTGATCGATTGTATCAGCAAACACTCGGCTGCGGTGTAAGACATCCGACTGACAAAGCTGTAATTGTTGATACTATTTTTTGTCTCCGGCTGATGAAGATAACTATTGTTTACTTACAAGGAACGGTTTAATTAATTTCTCACCAGATCAAAATGTTCTGTTATATCATGTCCCTGAAACTTGTGTGGCTCGGCCAAAACTGTTACTCATCAAAGACGGGATAAAAGTTCCTTTATTATCTTCTGCAGAAGAGAGCAATAATAATCATAATCATAAAATAACGTTATATTGTGAATTTCTTTTGCAACAGGAACCTCAGCAGTGCAAAGCAAAACAACCGACAGGTGATGAGAAAGTGTCGAGGTCTGGTCGACTCTCTGGTCAGTTACGTTGGAGATTGTGTGGAAGCAGGAAAACCAGATGATAAGGTATTTAATCCTCTTTCACTCGGCGTCTCCGTGTCTGTGTCACACCTTCACGTGGGAAAAAACCATCAGTCGTTAAAGAGAGGAGCTGCAGTTTGAAGATAAATAAACTACAGTTGTACAGCAACGTCACGTCTTAGTCGTGATGTGATTATGTTCTGTCACGGTAATCTTATTTTATACAGCCATGTATGTAAAGCTGTGGCTGAGAGGGTAGAGTGGTAGTACAGCCAGAAGATCGGCGGCTCGAATCCCAGCCCATGCCAAAGATGTTGAAACCCCTCATAGGTGTTGAATGCAGGAAGTTGAAGTTGCTTTGGATAAAAGCATCAGATCAATGACATGTAATGTGCTGCTTCCTCTAATGCACTAATGCACTGTCAGCAGGCTACTGATGCTAGATGTCATACATTGTGGTGAACAGTAATTCTTTAAATTCTGTGATGACATCTTGAGCAGAATAACGTCTTTTTACAATCGGAAACCTTGACTTGCTTCTAAATGCTGTTTATGTTTTAATTTCTTTTCATATCATGTTTTCTTGAGTCAACTGCGATTTATGTCTTTCTGTCAGGATCATTATCATGTGCCCGTATGTTGTGTGTTGTCGTTCCCGGAAACAGTCAGCAGAAAACTGCGTGTGCGTCCTGCACAACCTGACGTTCCAGCTGGAGGTCGAGGCTGCGACTCTGTTCAGCAGAATCACGGCTTTGTCCAAGACCATGAACCGCAGCAACAGCCAGGGCGACACGGGCCCCATCGGCTGCTTCAGCCCGCAGAGCAAATCTCCAGAGAAGGAGGTGAGACAGGGAAACTGATGCAGAGCAGATTTTTGATATAGAAAGGATTATATTTTGGACAGCTTGTTGCACGTAGTAGTTTGTCTTGATAGCAGCTGTCAGTGTGTGTTAATCCTTTTCCTCAGTTTCACTTTATGTTATAAACTTTATGGCAGTTGTAATTATGTGTGAGCATGTCACTCAATATTGTAAAAAAAACTAAGCGCAAGGGCTGAAGTGCTCTCAGGGTGTGTCAAACTCCATGCTAGTTATTTTTAAAATAACACTTAAGAAATATAAAGATTAAAAACTCAAAGATAAACATTTGAATATATGTAATGTATACATTGGAATGCTTCAGCTGTGCAATGTTTGTGTGTATAGGAATAAGAAAAGTACACACAGTATCTCACAGTTGTAGGCGAACTGTACCTACTGTAAACTTTCTGCACGCGTGAGTGCAAATATACAAATGTGTGAGACGGAGTCAAAGATTTACAGTGTGCTAGATGAGGCCAAGATAATCCAGAGTTCAGAGTATTGGTTTGTCCACGTTGATGAACTGTTCACTTCCCCCTCCAGCAACAGTTTGACTTCCCCGTGGTTGAGGATCCGCAGCCGAGCGGGGCGGGCTGGCTGTTCCACTCCAAAACTCTGCAGAGTTACCTGAACCTGCTCGACTCCAGCGAGCGCGCTGACACACAGGAAGCCTGTTGTGGCGCGCTGCACAACCTCACTGCACATGAAGGCATTGTGAGAATAGACCTGTCAAATTCAATTTAGATTAATCTGGATTGTAAATATTTTTGTGCCAGTGAAATGAAGATGGATAAATACTTTGATATATTCATGCACTCAGCTTGTTGTTTCCTGAGTTTAGGAGCTCACCTTTTTTTTTTTTTTTTCATATATACATTCACAGGTCTCCAGAGTAATGGGACACACCATTGTGCAGAAGCTGAATGGCCTGAAGGTTATCTGTCCCCTTTTAAAGTCAAACAAAGTCAACCTACAGAAGAGCGCTGTGGCTTTAGTAGGAAACCTGACCAAGAACCCAAGCCTTCACAATGCGATTGGTAAGAAGCTTGTAAAAGACAAAACTGTGTGTTGCTTTATCAAACATCTAAATTACTAATAGACCAACTATGAAGAAAGTAGGTTAATGCTTTGAGTCATTACTCTACAATAATCTCAGCCAACTGCTTGCAGATTTACATGTGCATGCTTGTGTGTAACCGCTGTTGGTTTTGTTTTCCTTGTTACCGCAGCTCGTAAAGCTCTCCCAGAGCTGGGGGACATCATCAAAGCCGGCACAGAGGAAGGGAATGAGTCCGATGACACTCTCTCCATGGCCTGTCAGGCGGCCAACTGCCTGATCATGAAGGAACCTGACATCGGCAAAGGGCTGTTAAACAGGGCCCTGATAAACTCACTGACAGAGCTCAGCCAAAACAAGTAAGGTTGCATGTGTGCAGAGAGAAAATGTACCTGCGTGTGTGTGGATATGATTATTTGAAATGTGGGGAATACCTATGACTCATCAGGGATTATTAGTTGCATGTCTCAGATTTCCAAAAGTTAAAATTGACCGATACAATTTTATTCCCTCCTTCTCAGCTATCTCCCCAAAGCCAGCAAAGCTGCGTCGCAGCTTCTCTGCAGCCTGTGGTCAGACAAAGATTTACAAAGCTTCCTGAAAAAGGTGAGTTGTGGCTTAACCCAGAGTGCCAAGATCTGTCAGGGTTTGGGTGTGTCCTCTTTTGTTTCTTGCCATCAAGTCCACACCTCTCTCAAGTATTTGTGAGAAACAGAGGGAGAGAAGGGTAGACGGATAAGGTAGTGTTCTCAGAAAATGCCCAGTGAATGAGAATCAGATGCCAAAATCAAAAGAGCTGAGGAATCTCGTAGCTCAGGTTATTAAGAAACATATGCCGGACTTTGTGTGCACATGCACAGAAGCAGTTTTGCATATTGCATTTTAAATCCTCCTGTAGGTACATACAGATTTGAACTCTGGCTCGAGGGGGAATTTCCCATGAGGCAGTGCAGTTGAGATTACAATTTCTCACATTGCAGAGACAGAACACTGATTAATATTGTATTATTTTTGTCCCGCAGCAAAGGATGGGAAAACCCATATTCGTAAATGACATCACCAAGTTGGCTCAAAATGGTAATTAGCCGATCGTCTTTTTTTACCGAAGCAACTTTCCTGCACAAGTTGTACATGCACAGATCTGAGCAGCATCCTCTCTCATTTCATTTTTGAATCCATGTTTCCTTATAATGCGTCCATCAGTAATGCCAGGCCTGTATATGCTGTAAGGTGACTTTATAAGAAAATAGGTGAAGGTTGAAATGTAAACGTAGAATATAGCGGCCAAACTGTCTTTGCTGGAAGTTTTGATTTGTTTTTTAAGTTTTAAAAATGGAGGAAATTGTGTGTGTGATATGGTAGCATGAGCTTGTTTTTTTTACTAATATGAGGGTCTTTAATGTTGCACAGAAATTGTTTTAATATGATGACAGAAGATTGTTAAATGTGTTTGATAGAAAATGAATGGATAATGGAGCATTTATATTTTCGGAGTTTATGTGGTTTATGTAAGAGCTATGATTGTGTTTCATTATACATTTGATAAAAACTGTTTGTTGGTGGGATGTGCATTTTCCTGTATGTGATTGTAAAATGATTTGCTTGTATTGACCCGAAAAGTGGCAATAAAGAATAATTTCTCTTTGAGCTTCAGATGTGACAAAATGCCTACATATATTTGTTTCACTTTTAAAATAGAAAATAATAACTTGGATTTAGATGACGCCTTTCAAAGTACTTAAAGCTGCTCTCAACAGCTGAACGTGGTTTTCTGAGAACATTTTTAGAAGATTCTAACGTCATGTGACATAAATTAACCTAGATCTTTCATCAGATAAGCACCAAACTTAAAGGATCTCTTCTTGGCCTGTGCCCAATCAACCCAATGTGCAAATGAGTTCAGTGCTTCTTCAAGAGAAATAAACAAGGATGATGAGATGAGGTGAGGTGAGGTCATAAATTCTGTTTCCTGGCGTTGGAGTAGATCATTTGTTAATTGTCACAGTCGCTGGTGTTGCATCTAGAGTTCTGTCAGCCCGTTCACACCCCTCTTGACAGTCGAGTTTAAAACGCTTCTGGGCAGAAGACACGTTGCTCTTTCTGTTCACTCCACCCTTATCTGTTGTATTTTCTTGCAGCCTATAAACTGTCGGAGCCCGACGCTGCAGCTGCTGTTGCACTTGGTGAATTATTGGCGATCAGATTGAACTTGGGTTTTTCAGTTCAAACCACATGATCCACCCAACAGCCATGAGGGGCTTTTGGTATTAAGGGTGAGATTGACTTTAATGAAGCGTCTGGCAGAGCTGCTCTCTTCCTTGTGCCCTGATAGATTTATGTGCCTGGTCATTTATAGAAAACTGGTGATACACTGTGTAACTCCCCAGCCCTGTCTCAGTGGCAGCTCCGAGAGAAAACTGCCAAAATGAAGTTCCCCCGAAACTGCCTGTCATGCCTGTCATCCACTCGGCCGTCAAACTACACATGAACCTTCTTTAATCATTTTCTTGGCAAGCTCAATCTGACATTATTAAAAGAAGGTGGGGCTTTTTGTTCCTTTTATATTTTTGATTATTCTCAGCCATTAAAACACCCTGAGCTTTCATGCGATGGCGGAAACAGCTTTCGTTTTTGGCAAAGCATCTGATGTCAGATGGTAGTGATGCTGATGATTCTCCTGGTTTGAGACTTTTCTTGACCACATTGTCCCCTCGGGGAACTTTGTCTCCACACCCAGTCAGAACAGAGCAACACAAATAAACACATTTAAACACAGGCAACGCACAGTTAGGACAGAACATCACAGGAAACATAAACCAGGCAGTTAATTTGGTTCAAAGGAGACAGCGAAACCGGTAAGGTGTGTTGTTGTGATTGACGTCCTCACAGTGCGCCTGTTTTTTAAATATTGAACATATCACGTGTCCAAATGGCCCCAAATTTGACACCGCACTTCCTTTGGCCCTTAGCAACACACATGCCGATGAGACGACTGGTTCTCTAGATATTTGTTCCACATACAGATTTATTTGGCTGAGAGTCCTTTGCTTCTCCGCTGCCACAACAGAAACAAACAAACAAAAAACAGGAGTCTGTTTCTGGTTTGTTAAATAAAGTTTATTTAATTCATTGCAGCACAAAAATAGTTAATCTGTCTCCAATTCACTTTGAGTTTTCCAATCGACAAATTCAGGGTTTGGAAATTAGTATTAAAGTCCAAATCCGGTCACTAAAGCCATTATAATAGATCACACATTTCTTTTTAAATAAACATGAGCTGCACCACTTCGTCTGATCAGTCTGGGATCAGAGACTCAGTTACACCTCTGGAATTCTCAGCATGCACTTCATTATATTACAGATAACCTGTTTAAGAGAATCTTATAATATTTTCACAACCATCACTTTGTTCTTGCACGTTCAAGTATGTAGAAAACGTTCAAATTCAGTTTCTGTCGCTCACTGATGCCGGTTTTCTTCACGTTGACGTCAGATGTTACTTCCTCAACCCTCGCTTGCTCCTGACGCCCTTTGAACTGAGAACAAAGAGAGAAATAGTTCAGACGTGAGGCAGCGCATGAAGCAAACTGAGCCATGGATGTTCCCTTCCACCTTAAATGTTTTTTTTTTTAACTTGCGTATCTGACTAGTCAGTTTTTACAAGCACATCATGTCAATATAAAAAGTGAGCTCATCCCTCCCCCGGCAGTGCGGTCACATCCCTTCTGCTTATTCACGTTAGCAAAGAAACAGGAGTGATTTATTTTATTTTGATGATTGAATTCAATAAGAAAAGTTTTAGAGGAGCAAAGAAGTAAATTTGAACAGAAAAAAGTTAACAATGATTCTGTATTATAAGATTTATTTGTATTATTATTCTACACAAAAAATACTTGTGACTCCTTCAGGGGCTCAACCCTCATGTTGGGGATCACCGCTGCACAGAAAGCTTTTCACAGCTGCTGCTGCTGCTGGGAGGGGATTTGCTACCTAATCATTGACGGCTATGTTTATCAACTGTTGCTACCGGGGTACCTGCAGCCCATCTATGAATCTATGAATCTATAAACACAGTCAGACTGTGGTTTCATTTCTTGTCTGAAATAATCAATCACTCTTTCCAGTATTCCTGCTTCATAAAATCACTGTCAGATTCTGCAGCAGCATCAGTGTCTGAGCTGGTGAAAGTTTTGCTCAGAGCCCTCGCTGTAACACGGCCTGCGGATCAGGAGCAAAGGATTGACATGATTTGGATGTCAGCGGGGGCCGGTCACTGTTTTATTGTGAGCCACATTATCACAGATGATATCAGGCAGCAGCTATGAGATCTGTCAGCTGTCGGACCTTCGTTACAGTCCATCTCTCCTTGGAGACTGAGCGCACGTATGCACTTCAGTCTGTCCTTCTTTGAACCACCTCTCATGTTTCTGCTGCTTTTTGTTTGCCATGTCCTGTCTTGGCTCAGCGGACATGGGACTTGAAGGAGGTGGAAACTTGATGAGGTCACTTGCTGAATGTTAACATCAGAATTAGAGTCTGACTGAGCACCGCAACTTTGTGCCGTTTTTGGATCTACTTTGTAAAGTAGTAATATCTGTATTTGTGTAGCAAGGGCAAAGTGATCAGGTGAAATCAGGGAATGCTGTACGATAAAAGAAGCTACTGACTCATCAGGCGGAGTGTTCCACGGCCTCTGAGCTCTGATTTTTAAAAAAGATCTGCAGAATACTGAGGAGTCAGACCGTAAGTTGTAAGTAGTTAAAAGAACCATAAAATCAATGTTACTGGAAGCCAATGTAAAGGGTCTAAACCCAGGGGGACGTGTTCCAACCTGTTTACTCTGATCTAATTCCTGGCAGCTGTGTCTGAAGCCGGTCTACAGGTTTTCTACTAATATGAAAAGTCTGTTAAACTAAACCGTAAGAAAGCACTTAATATATAAATGAAATGAGACTTACATTTTCTGATGGTCACTGACTCGGTTTCTCAGCACGGTGATCTGTGCAAACACGGGTTTAAAAAAAATCATGAATTAGTGTTGTTATGCTAAAATGCAGCACCGTAGATATTAGGTGACATTTTCATTATTTATTAAATGAAAGTGCAAAGTCTGAAGAAAACAACAGGTAAATTCTGCAAACAGCAGCTTGTACAGGTTGATAGACTCCATGTGATTTACAGGTGATGACCTGATAAGACAGTTTACATATGTAACAGTCACGAGTGATTCATTACCTCATACTTCTGCTTTGTGTGCTGATACTGAAGTTCAAATTTCTCCGACTCCAGCTGACGCAACCAGTCCCACATCTCCTTCGCTTTTTCCCTGAATCAGTGCAGGAAAGAATATTAAAACCTGTTCAATAAAGAGACAGTGAATAAAACAAAGGGACAATAATGAACCAACGTATGATTGTGTGTTTTTCTTTTACTTGAGTTTGTCCTCTCTCAGGTGATCGATGTTTAACTCCTTGCGTCGGTCGTTCAGGATCTTCCTCTTCTTCTCTCTCTCTGTTTGTCTTTTCGGCCCAGTCTGTGTCTGCAGGACAGGAGGAGGACGGAGGATGTGGTGACATGTAACGCAGCATGTTTTATATTTGTCTTTTTAATGAACAACAAAATCATCACTTTGTATCCAGTGAAACTCAAGTTGGACAGAATCATCTTCTTCCTGGCGTCATCATCTGCTTTCTTCTTGGCCTCTTCGTCTTCTTTCCTCGCTTTTTCCTCCTGGTGGGAAAAAGGGTAAAGGTAGAGTTGACAGTTGCTTTGTGACAAGTCAAGTGTCACTATTTAAAGGTCCAGTGTGTAGGATTTAGGTGAAAGGGATCTAATGGCAGAAATTGAATGTAAAATAATTCTGTTGATGTTTTCACTAAATTGTACAAGTTGTTATATTTAAATACTTTATATGAACATGGGGAGCGGGTCCTCTCTATGGAGGCCACCATGTTTTTTTTACCGTCATCCAAACCTGGACAAACTAAAAACAGCTTTGGAGTTTTTATGACAACCGAAGCTACCACAGGTTCTCCTTCATGTTTGGAAGAGGAAGGTGAGGTGAGGGGTGTTCAGCTGCAACATGCACCTTCACCACTAGACTGAACCTTTAAATATCTAAAAGCCAGTTTGAAAAATGTTAGTGTATTCATAATACATTTTACAAAACAATACAATTCTCTTACACTCACTCTGTGAAGACATTAACCTTCCCTTTCATAAATAGCACAACATTAACAAAGATCGCCATCCCGTGATTGGATTTACTCGGGTGTTGTTCTTTGTCATGTCATATTAACACAATCATCATCTTCACAATGCAACTGAATGGCTGTGTGGAAGGAAATGATTACAAACCCTTTGGTGTGATTTGATGATGAACTTTACTCACAGATATTTTGTTCTGTCGCTCTTTTTCTCTCTCTGCTCTGATCTTCATCTGCTCTGATCTCTCTGACCTGCGTTTTTCCTGCAGCAGGAAACAAAGGGAAAGTTTACGTACTTAGAGGACAAATGTGTGATTTCTGCAGCCGGACAGTCAGACGTGAACGTACAATGCGATCTGTGAGGTTGATAAGCTCCTCTTCCTCCGTTTTACGCTTGTCAAAGTGAGCCTCGATCAGAGTCTGGAGCTCGTTCAGGTCCTTTTCCATTCGTTTGCGATGAATGTCCTGAGATTAGAACAAGACGTTATTCATTCTGCCCAGAGAGAAGCTTGCAGGTTTAACTTGAATCTGTCCTCAGATGAACTCACATCAAAATCCACCTTTTCTCCATCAGGGATCTTCGGAGCTGCCAGGCCGGGAACGAAACCAGGCCTGAGGAGGACGAGGAAAATTACAACTTTTTCATTTCGTATCTCTCTCAAGGTTGGTCGTTATTCAATTACTTAAAATGTTTAAAAAAAAGATCTTACTTTAACTTGGGTTTTACATCGTCTGCACATCGACAAGGAGAAAAAGCAAAATATCGTATTGCATATAGTGTATGATGCAATACATCAAAAAAAAAAAATCAAAGAAACTCACATGCATGAAACAACTCACAAAGCAACATTCTTCTGTCACACACACACACACACACATACGCACACACACACTAACATACACTCACACACACACACACACACATAACCTCTGTATTTCTGAGATGACCTGTCCATACCTCCTTCATTTTCCTCTCCAGCATCTGCTGACAGATGAGAGTCAGTGAAAGGTCATGAGTTTGAGAAGTATAAACACACAGGCATGCACACACACACACACACACACACACACACCTACCTTAATCTGCAAATATGTTTAAAAGTTTTTAAAATAAAGGTTTCTGAAGTCATTAAAGTCATTAAGTAAATTTTAGTAAATATCTTATAGCTGTGTCAATGGTTGGATGTTGTTGTCCATCCAATAGTCTGATCTCACTAAATTGTAGATGTCACACACATTTCCCTCATGTTTGTGTCTCAATAAGAGGAATGTTAAGCTGAAAGTGGAGAACAGCCTCAGACAATCAGCGCCTGACTGTGGCAGCATAGTCGAGCAGCTCCTGTCAGAGTTGACGGACTTATCCTGAAAGGTATGAGGGCGTGTGACTGTCTGAGAGGAAGCTGTCTTAAATCATCGACACAGATAACTTGTGTGTTTGTTGGTGACAGAGGAACAAATGACCTCGTCCATCAGTCTGTCACAGAACAGTGTTGCTCCTTATAATTAAAGTTTTTGATAATTCATTCATCTTGCAATATGTCAGAGGCATATTTTACTCAACTGAAAGACAGAGAGAGAGAGAGACGGATAACATTTGCTTTAACACATCATTTTGACTTTAAGTGGTAAATGTTCCTTTTAAAATCAGACCGTAAGACATGACATTCAAAATCTAAAAATAATGTGATTTTTCAGAATATATCTTCGCACTCGGTTTTAGAGCTAGTGTCCCATATGCAAGATTATATATTTTCTCAAAGTGCCAGTTAATTCATTAACTTAATTATATATCTATCTATCTATCTATAGATAGATATATATCTATCTATATATAAATGCATCAACATCGAGCTATGAATGAGGCCGCCAAATGTTTCAGGAATAAAATGGTTGCTAAATTAATCCTTAATACACGCATGGTGTTTGTCATTAGACTGCAGTGCGTTAGGAATATCTGTTTACAGCTGCCATGCAAAAATAGCGTAAGCGTTACTACCTTCTTCCTCCTCATCCTCCTCCTCTACTACCTCTTCCTCCTCCTCCTCCTCCTCCTCCTCCTCCTCCTCCTCCTCCTCCTCCTCCTCTGTTAACTCCTCCACCTCCTCCTCCTCTTCTGTGCAAAGTAAGTATGAAGTTAGCAAGCAAACAATGTGACACTCATATATATTTCTGATGATCAGTTAAAAAAAAAATACAAACTGCTACTAGTTTTTAACTTTATGTATGAAAATATAGAAATTATTTAAATAGTATGATTGCATTTAAATATAATTTTTAAATGAATTTGTGCATCTTAAGTCAGTCCAATTATCATTTATGCCAAAAGATTAAAGTACACTGATGCTTAGTGTGCATTGTAATGCATCCTTTATTTTATTTTTTTTTACCATTTTGCCACCTGCTTTCCCACTGTTCCATTTAGCTTTCAGACTATTTGCAAAGTAGTTGGTTTGTTTTAACCTACAGTCTGTGTTTGTTTGCAGGATTACAGAAAACAAACTAAACAGATCAAGTCAACATCGTGAATTGAAACGTGGCTTAATGAGGGGACTGTTGGACCTTGGCGGATGTATGAACTCTACTGAGCGGCGCTTTTTGTTCCCAGCATTTCTATCCTCACTGAGCCTCAGTAGGAAAAAGTGACACAGAGCGTTTAGTCCCTTTGGCCACAGAGGGAAACTCAATCTCTTTCCACTGGAAAGGAGGTAAGCCAACCTGCATTTAGAGGACCACGAACAGGCATAAAAGTGAAAGTGGGCATTGTGCTTGCACCGCTATTTGCCCCAAGGTTCTCTATTGAGAGCCTAAGCTGACCTACATCGGTCTCTAACAGAGACTGTAGTCCACACAGAGGGAGACAGGTGCTGCTCAGTTGCAGGGACAGCGTGGCTGCACAGAGGCCCTCTTGGACAGCTTCACAAAGAAGACAGAAATAGCGGTACGGCCCTTTATCTCCTCCATGGCAGCCCAGTGCACCATTCGAATTGAAAGGACAGATCCACTGGGATGTTTATTCAAGGTGAACTATCTTCAGGCTCAGACAGAGGAACTCACCGAGAGAGCAAAGGTCAATCTGGCAGAAAAGCTGTGGCGCAGCTGCTTCCACAGTGGCACCAACACGCCAAAAATACAGTACGCTGCAGTGAAGCCAGGGGCTTAGCAGATGCAGCGCGTTAAGTAACCAACAGCATTTAAACACAAGGCTCAAGTGTGTAAAGCAGGTAACAAAGTGGCAGAAAAACCCAACACAACCTGTTAAAGTTGATGCATTCGGAGGTGGAGATGTACATTGTTTTCATAGATATTGTTTGTATTAAACAACAATATCCTCCTCTCCTTCACAGCGTACACACACAGAGACGTAAAGAGCAGAGGTCAGCTGTTGCAGTGTAGTTCACAACTGTGTTAAACACAAGCTCAAATTTATTTCTGATACACGTTCATGCAGAAGAATCACAATGTTCATGCATGTCTTTCTATGGACTACAGATGAAGCAGCTGTGGAGCAGCTGTGGAGCATCCAGCCAGTCACAGTTTGTTTGAATCTGCAGCGTCTACACAACAGTGCAGGTAAACTCATCTTGCGTGTGTGTGTGTGTGTTCAGTGCACAGACTTACGTTGTCCCCTGAAAGTAAAAAAAACACACCAACAATATTTTTGTTATGATTGATTCCATCTGTCGGCACATCACTTTGTTATTCTCAGTCTCTGCTCTGTAGAAATGAAAAGTTTACTCACTCATATGTTGCATCTTCTGTGTCTGACATGTTGAGGATGGAGCACCTGCACGAATGAGAACAATTCACTGCACAGTGATGATTTTATCTTTCAAGAAATCGGTTTATTTACCATTTATCGACACACAAGAGAAACGCAGACACTTACCCAGATAGTGCGATGTGCGCTTCAGATGTGACTCAATGGGGGGAATCGTATACTGGGCCCTCCTCTGTTGGCCATAAGCTTTTAAACCCAGTAGCAGGTCACATGGTGGCAAGTCGGAAGTTTGGAGGTAATCCCTGTAAACTTACTCCAGCGTGCACACAAACACACAAACACACAACTGCACGGAGCTCCAAGTAAAAAAAAACCCCACATTATTCACAGTAACTTAATAAGATGCTGCTGATCTGCAACATGTCGATCGCTGGAGCTTTACTCGGCATCATGTTACTGCCACAGTTTAATCCATCGACTGGAAGCGTTGACCAATCTTAATTGAGCCGAACTCAAGTAGCAGGTTGTTCAAAGACAGGAGATTTCTCTGGCTCCATCTCCTGCAGCTCCCAGCCCTGTGTCCTCGCTTGTTCTAACGTGCTGTAAGCAACACCCTGCACAGGCTGCCAAGTCTTTTGATACTCCCAGTGTTTGTTGTTGATGTTGTATCTGACCCCACATTGAGGAATCGTGACTCAGCAGGAAGAATGGCTCCGTTTTGGATAGAAGCTGTCGTTTTCTTTTGTCTTCTGAGATCTTTTGAGGCAAGTCTGAGCAAATTCTCCAGTCATTTGAAACAAGTTGTCAAAACAAGTAAAACAAAAAGTGGAAATCAGTGACACAGAAAGCTCAATTATATGTTTTTTTTTATTCAATTCTGTTAAATTATTTCAGGTTAAAAGTGTTGACATATCGATTATTCGTTAATAATAAATACCACAGTAATTGTCACAATATTATTTTTAAAGACTGTTTCTCTCCTTAGTGACGGTTTTGGTTTTAAAGTCTTCTTTA